CGATGTTCGTCATAGTGCTTGCAAAGCCTGCTAAGAGGCATAGAAGGATGCCAATCGTCCACAAGGACTCCCGCTTCTCCGCCGGCGATTCTGCAGTAGCATGGCTCGTGTCCTGTGAGCGCGCCTTTTCTGGGTTCTCGAAGAAAAAGACCACCTTCAACAAGTACAAGAAGTATACAATGGCCATGAACCAACCGGGGGCGGTGTCGGAGTCCAGCACAAGGTTGTGAATCCGCAGTTCACGCAGGAAGGTTTCCAGCAAGCCACAAATAGCTGGCGCCACCGCCAGCGCCGAGGTAGCCACTGCAGAATACACAAACAACACTGGCGTCCGCCTCTTGACACCCACGGCATCTGCAATGTAGATGGGCGCACCCAACTGAAACTGACAAATGCCAATGAGGGCGCGAGCGAAAAGCACTGCCAGCTTCGAGTGCATGAGCCCGGCCAGGGCGTAGATGATGTGTCCCAGAACCATACCAGCGGCCATAAGAATACTCACCGTCTTCATGGAAGCTGCTTTCAACATCCAGCGATTGAGAGGGATCCCGATCAAGCCCTGGAGAACCGGCGTCAGCGCAATGACAAGTCCACTGAAGAGGGTCCCGGCCCCCAGTTTCCTGGAGTACTCGTCGACCGTGGTGACCACGATGTCTAAGGCCAAGGTGGACAAGAACCCGGAGTACATCACCAAACAGAGCGATGGGAAGTGAGCCCTCCGCTCCTCCAAAGCAACCTGAGAAGAGCTCTCCACCTCGAAGGAGCCCCCAAGCCCAAAGGTATGAGAGCGGCTGAGGCCGATGATGTCGGATCTTGGCTCCGAGCCAGAGCTCAGGGAGCCTCTGCAATGGCTGGGCAAGGTCTCCGTACATGTGACAGACATGGCTCTGATCCGCAAAAAAAGTCGAAGCTGGGGCCCCAAACAATGCTGCGGAAATGAGACAGTCGCTCGGACGTGATCTTGCCGGAACTTATATATAGCCTCAACTGTTTAGGGCATAAAGGCTTGGGGTTTAGGGATTGGGGGTCTAGGGTTAAGGGTTTT